GTACAGGACTATTATTACTTTTATTAATTTTAATTTCATTTTTTACCTACGTGACTTTACCGAAAAAACTAAGAGTATGAATCCTTGCAGTCACGAAAGCTTCAAATCTAGAATTAATCATGTCTGATGGTATAGGTGTAACTCTTTGGTTCTTTATGGTAAAGTCACGTATAAAGATAAAATAATGAAAAAAATAATAAATTAAATAATAGCATGTTATTTTTTTATTATTTTCTTTATTATTTTCTCTTTATACGTGACTTTACCGAAAGAACCAAAGAGTAATTCCTGCAGTCACGAAAGCTTCAAATTAAGTGTGGTATAGGTGTATATGTGTATAGTGTTGTGTGTGTGTGCAGTGTCTACACATGTTGGGGAGCAGTAGCGCAGTTATTTGTGCGCTACGGACTAAACGACCGGAGTTCGATTCCCGCTCACAGCCAACCACCAGTGACGATTATCTGAACCGGTCCTGTGCCTCCTCTAGGTCGACTCAGCCTCAAATGAGTACCTGGTGCGGTGTGTAAAAACATCGCCACTGAGGAGACAAAGGCGGTTGGGCGTGGTGCTGGCCACACCACCCCCTCGTGTGCCGTGCCGGCCTTCATAGGTGCGAGCTAACAGCACTTGCCCCAACAGTCTGAGCGGGCTACACAGCGGTGTCTGTGTGCATCACCATCGTTCAAATCTGACATGCCTAAAAATCGCTTTTTGCGGGTCCAGAGTTCAGGGTCTGGAATTTTGACGACGAAGAAAACACGTCGTGATAACTGCACGCAGTAACTGTCAGCTTGCCAGGGTTGCTCAGGGGGCGAGGTGTGTGTGTGTGCATTTTAGGCTGAGACAACCTCCACTCCGCCCAAGTAAAACCTTGCGTCGACCCAGTCTCTCGCGTTCGGCTACCGTGCATCACGTGGTCATCGACTCCAGCCTCATAAGTTTATTATTCAAGGTCAAAAGGTCAAAGTGTAGGCCCCCCACGATTTAAGTTAGCGAACGTGGCACAGGAGTGGAGCTAATCGTCAGTTCGTGGCACAGAATCAGATATGGAAATGCCAGTTTGACACGTTTATTGTGGAAATGCCACGTTCTCATTGCCGTGGGTCATTTTTGTGCACAGGATGACCACCGCTAACTTATCGCAGAGTGGCACATATTCTCTGGCCTCTCTGGTTTTCTCCCACAGTAAAACAACAAAGTTACCCAATAAGGAAATGAGCAAATACCCCATTACTACATAAACCGCGTCTTTAGGGGGGAGTGCTGCCGCTTTGGTGAGAAGGAAGCTGTCGTGCTCGGGCCAGGAGTGATGCCCGCCTCAATGTTTACGGTGCAATGTCTCTGTAGGTTTTTTTTTGTCGACAAAGGAGTAAGGAGCAACCAAAGGAGATAAACACGCCCCGAGAGGACGAATCGATGAGGAAATCGGCTCCTCGTGTGCAGGAGCGAGACGGGTCGCTACATCACAGGGCCCTGAGAGAGACGGAAGACGGCATGGGGAGACCTTCATCCAGCAGTGGATAGCTCATGGTGGTTGTTGTTGTTGGTGGTGATGTGGTTACGAGTCGCCCGCGCAGTCATTTCATTGGCAGACGTCAGGGACGCGATTTGCTTTTAGATGACTATCGATTGTACTATATAGCGTATCACTTTGTCTGTCTCTTACATAACCATTCGCTATAATTTTGCACGTAAGTTGTTTTCATTCGAATTAATTGATTCTTACATACACGAGTCCAACCATGTGCCACGTGCAATGCCAATTTTTTTTTACCCAGAAAAGCCTGACTCATTCTCAAGACCCATCTTTCAGGATGGTCACGTTTACATTGGGATGTTTGGCCAATTTCACTAATGAGAGTTTAGCTTCGTACGGGATGAAACTGGAGCGCACGGAGAAAGCCCACCATCCACCTCCACCACGAAATACGAAGAGGGGATTACACTCACCACTGGATGCCACCTACAGCACCTGGCAAGCCCTGGTGGCCACCCATCCAGGCGCTGCCCCGAGCGGGCTCGGCCCTCTGCGTAGTTTCCAAGATCCGACGAGCGATCGGACGCACACAGGGTGATTTGGTCATAGGTCACATGTTGGGTTAGCGTAAGAATGTGATAGCAATCGTCAGAGTATACCCACAACCCTGCATTTAGACATCACAAAGCGGCACTACCAGTCCAGTAAGTGAGCCTCATATCTAGCTGGCGCATCACTGCGTATTTCCGAAACACGAAACGGGTCGTGTACGATCAACATATCTACGAAAATCCACACCGGGGGGTGTATTTCATCGCTTACAGCCTCTCATGATACATTTTAGGTGCCGTCAACTTTTTTATTATAAAAAAAACGACAAAACCGCTGAGGCGGTCTCGACTTATCTGAGTCTCATCAGCAGGGAGTGGCCGCTTTAACAAACTGCTGATGCTAGGGGGGCAAGAGGTGTCCCAAGAACAGCGAGATCCACAAGAAAGCCCCCGGCACGCGCGCAGGAATTCACAACAGTCGCTTATCTCCTCCGCTCACGCTATTCTCCCCTTCGGGCGTGCATGTTTTCAGGAATTGTTATTAAGTTTCATTAGTATTAGTATTATGATCGTTTTGCTTGTTTAGACTGAATCTCAAGACCTTTTATCACGAGGCCCCTTGCTAAGCTTTTGGACTATGGTGGGGTGGGGGATTGATGATTTTGCTGTGTGTAGTCCAAATTGAGTAATTTACACGAATTGCGGTATTTGTCCATTAACATGTAATTTAGTTACATTTAGATTTTTGTTTGTTTTATATATCGGAGGAAAGGAGATAACCCGGAGGAAATCCATGCAGAACATGGGAAGAACGCAGGAACTGCGCATGGTAAGGTGTGCCCAAGTCAAGAATCGATCCCAGGGCCTGAGTTGCTCTGCATGTTACCACATCGCCACCCTGATGCCCACCAATCAATGCGCTCCATACAATGTACACAAGATGATAGACGTGGGTTTGTGTGTAACGGTATGTTGTATCGTGTGTATGTACAGTATATATGTGTGTGTGCGCGCACGTGGGAAGCGGTGGCGTGATGGTGAGCGCACTGCACTACCAAAGTTCTATTCCGAGTCACGGCTAACATCAGTGGCGAGTAATGTCCACATCTTTATGATGTGCATAGCTCCTGAATCTTCGTCTGTTCCTGAAGAAGCTCCCAGAATGTGGAGTGAAACGTCGGACATTGTGCCGAACAACACGCGGTGCAACCCCAAATCACATCAGAGAAACGAAGAGCACAACCGCGAAAAACCCATGCGGCGATATCAGAACCTGTCCTTGTGCATCTCCAGGTCGACTCAGCCTTAAATCAGTACATAGTGCGGTGTGTAAACTTAAGCACTGCGGAGACAAAGACGACCGAGCATGGTTCTCGGCACACCACAACCCTCTCATGTGCAGTTCTCGTCTTCATGGGTGCTCGAAGACGTGGGATTTTACCATCACCCCCACGGAAACTGAACACACCTGCCTGGGTAGCCTCTACAGCACTGAGCACTCCACGACCCACAGCCTCCACTCCCCTCGAGTAACGGGGCGCTTGCCCGTCAACCCATGGCACGTGACCTGGGTCTGTCCCGTGACCACCTCGTGCCAGAGAGCCGTTGACACTTCACGTGGCCTCAAAGTGCACCTAGCCTGGCACAAGCGCTGCGGTGACGTCACCGACACTGAATGGCGAACTGCTGCTGTTGTTTTTGGATGAGGACTTCTCGCACCTGGGCCGTGTCGCGTGCTCGCGGCCACCACGATCCCTGGCTTAGCAACGGAGATCTCGCTCGCAATCAATCAGTCGAGCGGTAGTTTCTCTTAATTGGCTGCGTAACGCCATGTGGAGGAGCTACCTGGCTTGTCACTCCACACGAAGCCCCGAGGTCTATTTATCGGCCACTGTTTACGCTTGCCAAAGGTGGACACCTTTAAGTAGGGGGGGGAACCTGGGGCCGGCTTGAAACATTCAGCCTGAGCTGCCGAACGATCCCTCCTGCGGTTGGCCTGGCTAGATCTGCGTGAGGAGCTCACACAGATCGAATATAATTGTATATTAACAGAGCGCTTTTACTGACGGCGCTTGACATACGGTGACAAAAATGTGACAATAGAATGATTTAGATGGCAGAGATCGTGCAAGGGTTAAGGAATGAGTGACCGCTATATGGGGGTACTTAGGGGTCACGAAAGGGTAAGGGAGGGGGGGAAGGAGTGGAGGAGCGAGGGAAGAGAATGGGCAGCAACGGAGAAGAGGCGAGGCTTTAAGAGAGGCATCGGCACGGGGTTAAGGAGGAGGACCGCTCAATGCGCACGGGAACTTTATTTCAGTGGAGGGGGTGCAAGGACGGGAGCAGGACCGAGAAAGGGATTTGGGAACGGCGAGAAAGGGGGGGGGGGCACAGAGAGACAGATCCTCGACAGATCTGGACTCGTGTGAGTGGACTCATCCAGCAGGCGAGGCCGCGTGGCCAACCAACGCATGCCCCATGCAGCGGCGTCTGTTTGGACGGATCGAGGGGGCTCAAAAGGCGCTCCGCGGGCTTGAGAGGAAATGGGAAGATTTGAGGTGATTGGAGTTTGCCGATGACTGGTACCAGCGCTGTCAACATCGACCTCTGTGTAGGAGGGGGAGGGGGGGTCGTAAAGGACGTTGCTACTGGGCAGCGGGAGTCAGTCGTCCTCCAGCAACAACGGAGGGCAGAGAAGCGACGCTCACAACAACGAGCATCAGCAATGGGGAAACAAAGGCAGTCCGGGCGTGGTGCCGGCCTTCCTGAGCGCTCGCTACTACAGCACTTGCCCCAACAGCCTCCTGCTCAAAGGCTATACGGGGGATCTTTGTCTGTCACACAGGTATGCATGCAGGCGCGTGTACGTGACGGTTCTTATCAAGAGCATCCACAACGAACCCCGCCCATGTTTCCCTCGATCCCTCCCACTCTGCCTCCTGATTCTCTCTCTCTCTCTCCCACGCGCCCAGGTGTGATCACACGGGCACACGCTCTCACCCAGACACGCTGCACACGTCCACGCGGACGCATACACACACACATACCTCGCTCGTACACATTCTAATACACACACACACACTTTCTTATACACACAATCTCCAGCATACAAACTGTTATAAACACACGTGTACATGCATAGGTACTCGGGATCACACAGACATACATGCTTACATAACAACTATACCTTTAACACAACGCTCAGTAACGCACACGCTCTTTCAAACACGCAGGCAAACTCTACAAAGACAAAGATCCCCCGTATAGCCTTAACAGGTTGTCGGGGCAAGTGCTGTTAGCGAGCACCTATTATCAACAAAGACAAAGATCACCCGTATAGCCTTACACACACACTGTTGAGACATGTGCTGTTAGCGAGCACCTATTACACACACTCACTCACTAACACACAAACCCGCACCCTCTCTACTCATGGATTCCCAACTGGACCGCGACTCCCCGTCTCGTTGCAAACGAATCTGCGGCTCCTTTGTGCTTCTCGACATCGCGTGCCTCCTCATAGGTGAGCATGCAGAGCCTTAATAGGCGCTCGCAAACTCCCCCACTCCCTCCCCCCAATCTCTCTGTGTCTCGATTAATGCCTGCGCGTAGTGGGGAGCGGTGGTGTAGCGGTCAGCGCGCTGCGCTACGAAGCTGGCGACACGAGTTGGATTCCCGCTCACGGCCAACACCACCAGTGACGATTATCTGAACCGGTCATGGGCCTCCCCTAGGTCGACTCAGCCTCAAATGAGCACCTGGTGCGGTGTGTAAACATCGTCACTGGCCGAGACAAAGACGGCCGGGTGTGGTGCCGTGCCGGCCTTCATAGGTGCTGCTACTCGCTAACAGCACTTGCCCCAACAGTCTGTGGAGGCTATATGGGGGATCTTTGTCTTTGTTTTGTAGTCGCGAGGAAGGGAGCGGTTTGCGCAGTGGTTACCGCATTGCTCCATACAATTCCGGTTACAATTTTTATGATTCCCGGCCACGGCTATTGCCAGTGGCATGGTTCGACTCGGCCATGAGCGAGTAATCTGGCGGTACGGCGCGTCAACATTCGCACTGGGGATACGAAGGCCGCCCGATGTGGATCTGATCACGCCACGCTGCTCCGTGGTCCGCGTCGCTCCGGTCTTCATCGGTACATGCGCACAACACTCGCGCCAGCAGTGGATGTGTCTCTACAGGGGATCTTTGCTATTGCACGTTGTGTGGGTCTGTGTGCGTGTGCGCGCGTGGATTCGTGTGCGGTGTGGGGCATCTTCTAAAGGAAGGTTGTGTTTGTACGGGGCACCGCTTAGCCAGAGTCATCATCGCAATCCATCTGGGGCTGATACAGAGTACTGACGCTCAAAAATTGGGGTTCGCGGGAAGTGTGTGGACGCCGCCATGGGAATGTGGAATTTCTCCCGCTGGCTCGAGGTAGCCAGTTATATCGTCCATGGGCCACAGCAGAAATCGGTACCACCTAAGGTAACACACCTTCAGTAGCTACCCAAGTATCTGCACGGCCAACGAGAGTGAACTAATTTACTTGATAGCCTCACTTATACGACTTTTCACATAATTCACTGTTATTGGCCACATTAAGGAATTAGAACCGCTAAAGTAAATTTTAGACTATTTAATTTATCAGGTAAGGCCCACTGAGATACGCAGCTCTCTTTCACAAGCAACAGAGTGGTTAATCGTGTGCAGATGCATATCAGAATCCAGATACTCTGAACGCGTGTCTCTCTAAATGTAGAGGGGAAAACTGGAGTACCCTGAGAAAAGTCGATGCGACCACGGGGAGAGAGAGACACCGCAAACTCCAAACATACAGCAGCAGGCGTCAGGGTCGGGATCGAACCCACGACCTCCTGCACACCAGGCGAGGGAGTTAACATCTCCTAGCCACCTCGTGTGGTACCGACAAGTGAAATGTCTGCTTTGGGCACGTGGACTCCCTGGCAGATGATCGATGCTGCTGCACCCTCTCATTGTAGTGGGTCAGAGGGTGGTACAGTATGACTCTTAGAACGACTTCGAGTTTATAGGATTAAAGTCTCTTCGCGGATAATTGGCCGTGGTTGAGGACGCACTGCCCTGAATAAGTTAACAATTCACTCCTGTCGCCCCCGCCCCCCCGCCCTCCTCTCACCGGTTTCTCGCCTGGATTAGATTGTCAAGTTTCGGGGGTCAAACAATGTATTCAACGATGCATTCGGTTCTTGTTTGTGTCTGGATGTCGTTCGTCCCTTCTCGCTTGCATTGTCCCCCGTGTTTCTCTCATCTCGCGTTGTGCAGTTCCCTTCGCCCCGTTACCCTAAGCGTGACAATTAGAATGCTGTCGAGTATTCCTCTTACAGAATCGTTTGCCATTAATTCTAGATTTGAAGCTTTCGTGACTGCAATAATTCATTTTCTTAGTTCTTTCGGTAAAGTCACGTAGGTAAAAAATGAAATAAAAATTAATAAAAAAATGAAATTAAAATTAATTAATGAAAATGTAAAAACAAACAAAATAAGTAAATAAAAAATATAAAACTTAATAAAATCACTTTATTTTTTTTATTTTTTATTAATTTTAATTTAATTTTTTACCTACGTGACTTTACCGAAAGAACTAAGAGTATGAATCGTTGGCCAGTCCACTGCTGGATGAGGACCCCCCCACCCCACCTCCCCACGACGTCTCGTGCACGCGAGTTATTTGACCATGCATCTACTTCACCACGTGACCGTTGCCAGGTGGTGAACGCGGGAGGTAATCGATGTACAGCGGCAGTGACGGTGCAATGGTGCTCGCTAACCGGACAACATCTGTAGGAAAAAAAGAGATGCATAGGTCGTCAGATTTTTCCAGTCGAAATTAAGATCCTTATTCCGATGCTAAAGATTCTGAACTGCTATAGTTGTGTTGGTCAATGGGTGCTGTAGTCTGGCTCTCTGAGCTGCGTCTATTGACGATACACAATCATCCTCGGAGTTTAACACGTAGGCTTTCGCGACCAATATTATTCATAATCAGCGTTTTTGGGTTTAGATCGCGTTATTTATAAATGTGTCGTAACCCTCCACCACCCGACACGGCCAATCAGTAAAAAAGTGTCACGTTGACAAAAGACAAATAGTTCACTGCTTTAGCCCACCGGTGTGTTGAAGCGTGAAACCACAACATTTACAATTTGAGTACGACGTTTCGCTGGTAATTGCATCCAGCATCATCGGGCAATTCGGAGTGCTGTCGCCTGCGACTAGGAACCTTGGACACCGAATCTTAGGAATCCCAAGGGGTTCACTCTTGGAAATGATCACTGAACCGTAAGACTCACTCTCGAGCCAGAGCCGTTGACTCTTTAGATGACTCTCTCGAGCCAGATGCATTGACTCTTTCGGAAGTGACTAATGTCCCCGCAAATGTGTATCGATCGATCAGGTTTTCATCCAATCACAGACCATCCATGGGTAGCAGTTGAAGAATTAAGAAAGGAAGCCAAATTCCATGGTTATTTGGGTAAGGTTTTCGGGTTCGAGACACGAGTACATGTTAGACTAATTTTCTTGCCACGAATCTGTGGGGATGGTAGTCTCGGACATAACACTGAGCCCAAAGAATAGCGGAGGCGCTGCATGAGTCTCCACAACCACGGGGGAGCGTGCTGGCTCGCTTCTCAAACCGGCCCTGGACGCACGAGTGTGTGTTCGCACAGCAGTCTGGGTCAACATCATTCCAAACGGTCTCGGTACCCGGGCTCCCAGGCTCGGTTTTTAAGCTCAGCCGTGCGTTTTTATCTGGGCTGACCATGGCAAACAACCACGGGGAGCACATGCAAACACCAAATATACAATCTTGATTTGAAGCTGTCGTGACTGCAGTAATCCATATTCATTGATTCATTCGGTAAAGTCACGTAGGTAGAAATAAAATAAAATTAAACAAATCACGACGTTTCGATCACAACACAAGCAATCTTGCGATCGAAACGTCGTGATTTGTTTTATTTTTATTTTATTTCTACCTACGTGACTTTACCAAAAGAACCAAAGAGTATGTCCAAATATACAGCAGGCGTCAGGGTCGGGATTGATCCCACGAACTACTGCATACCAGGCGAAGTAGTTAACATCTCGCCACCGTGATGAGAAGTTAATGCTGAGGTCGTTGGGCCATGCGGTGGCCCCCAGGGGAGATGTCGCGGATGTCTGTGGCGTTGCCCGTGTATGGGCGACGCCGGCAAGCGTCAGATGATGCGCTCCACGGTTTGGTCCGACGCGACAGAGCAGCACCATGGGTCACGGAGCGTGGGAACCCAGATCCGGGAACTGGTGCCGAACCACGGCAAGATCTGGGGTTGTTCCCGGTGGTCATGGAAACGAGGAATTTTCCAGACTCTGCGAGATGTTCGTTGGGTCACGTGAAGCGGAAATCCCATGCGCGTGGTTTCACCTGTGGAATGAGATCACGTGGGCGATTGTGGTGATGCGGGCGATGAGGGCGGAGGAGCGGGGAAGGATGGATGCGGGCAAGGGGTTGGGGGGGGGAAGAATGAGGAGATGTGGGCGAGGAGGTGGAGCGTGGAAGCAGTGGAAGAGGGAAGGGGGTGGAGGGGGTGGGAGAGTGAAGGGGGTGGAGGGGGTGGGAGAGTGGAGGGGGGGGGAGGGGGTGGGAGAGTGAAGGGGGTGGAGGGGGTGGGAGAGTGAAGGGGGTGGAGGGGGGTGGGAGAGTGGAGGGGGGGAGGGGGTGGGAGAGTGAAGGGGGTGGAGGGGGTGGGAGAGTGAAGGGGGGGAGGGGGTGGGAGAGTGGAGGGGGGGGAGGGGGTGGGAGAGTGAAGGGGGTGGAGGGGGTGGGAGAGTGAAGGGGGGGGAGGAGGTGGGAGAGTGAAGGGGGGGAGGAGGTGGGAGAGGGGAGGGGGGGAGGAGGTGGGAGAGTGAAGGGGGTGGAGGGGGTGGGAGAGTGGAGGGGGGGAGGGGGTGGGAGAGTGAAGGGGGGGAGGAGGTGGGAGAGTGGAGGGGGGGGAGGGGGTGGGAGAGTGAGGGGGTGGGAGGGGGTGGTGGAGGGGTAGGGAGAGGGTGGGGGGAGGGGGTGGGAGGTGGAAGGGGGGGAGGAGGTGGAGAGGGACGGGGGTGGAGGGGGTGGGAGAGTGGAGGGGGGGAGGAGGTGGGAGAGGGGAGGGGGGGAGGAGGAGGTGGGAGAGGGAGGGGGGGGAGGAGGAGGTGGGAGAGGGGAGGGGGGAGGAGGAGGTGGGAGAGGGGAGGGGGGGAGGAGGTGGGAGAGTGGAGGGGGGGAGGAGGAGGTGGGAGAGGGGAGGGGGGGAGGAGGAGGTGGGAGAGTGGAGGGGGGGGAGGGGGTGGGAGAGTGAAGGGGGGGAGGAGGTGGGAGAGGGACGGGGGTGGAGGGGGTGGGAGAGTGGAGGGGGGGAGGAGGAGGTGGAAAAGTGGATGGGGTGGAGGAATTGGAAGCGTGGAGGTGGTGGAGGTGGTGGAGGTGGTGGGAGAGTGGAGGGGGTTGAGGAGATGGGGAAAGTGAAGGGGATGGAGGAGGTGGAAGAGTGAAGGGGGTGATGGTGGCGAAGAGTCATCAGAGGCACGAGGCTCATCTTCGCCGTTTGGTGCTAATGCGTCGTTTATTCTCACAAACGTTATTTGACAATCGATTCGATGTATAAACATGTGATGCATACGTAACCCCAAAGAGACCTTTCTTACACGCGAACAGGATGCATATTTAAATGCCGTCATATAATTGGGAAGCGGTGAATGAGGTTCATGTCGAAATCGGCCGCACGCGATGTATTTTATGCAATCACGGTTCGCGAGTCAGCACTCCGATGCATAAATCCCGTGAAATAGCAGCACGCGTCCCCACGAGTGCTCGTCACATCTACGAGAAGAAAAACACATTTCTGAAAAAAACAGTGAGTCACTCAACTTATTTGAATAAAGAGATGAAAATATCCGAATAAGTTTAATTGCCTATGATCAAATCACCACAGCGCGGCCCGATCTCGTCAGATGCGTGAAGCGAAGCAGCGTTGAGTCGGAGTCGCTCGCGGATGGGCCAACACCACGCACAAAACAAGTGTCATCGGCTGCTGCGGGGCTAAGTTATGGGCAACAGTGCAGCGGAGCAGCACAATCCATTGTTGCACTGTTCTATGCTCCAACATATGATCCCCCACCTTTGCCAATCCCTCGCTGAGCAGCACGGTGAGAAGTATGGTCAACCGAAAATCCATCCATAACCCGCACGATAGGGAGAGCCCCTGATTCAGCGGTGGATTGACAAGCGGACCGTAGGTGCCACAACCTCGATCCGCTCGGTCAAGAGCCTCTGTGCTACGCAAGGGCGCGCAAAGGTTAAAGCACCGTCAATGCCAAGTGGCTTCGAGTTTCACTTTTACTGGAACCCATTGTGGAGGAAGAATGCACTCCCGACGGCGGCTCTTGTCCCACCCAGACTTGCACAGAGAGCATCTCTGCCACCCACGCAGTAGCGTGGTTGGCATGGGCCCTGGTGCGAGGTAGGACATGAGCCCCCCCCCCCGCCAACCTATCCAATGACCTCCCCCTCTATTGCCCGGTGCTGGGAGACGGCAGTGGTGTCACTTTTTGGGCACCGTCGCCCCGTCTAGATGCGCAAAAACGCCCGCAAATTGCGCTCACTTCAGTTGGCGGTTGACGTTCGAACTGAGTACTTGCTCCGGCAGTACATATACTAAAATTGGAACGATACATAGATTAGCATGGCCCCTGCGCAAGGATGACACGCAAATTCGAGAACTGCGACCCTCAAAGGAAAGAAGCCACCCCCCGTGGTCGCCCCACAGCCCCCCCCCCCCCCCCCCGTGATCCGTGGGTCAAACAAATCACTCTAAGACACCGGTGTGTGGCAGCAAGAGCAAGTTGATGCGAATGCTATCGCAAGAGGTCACACGTTTGGCACGACGGTCCTTCACTGACTATGCGTGCTGAATGAAATACCTGGGATCCTCACCGTGCAGTTGCACCGCTTGCACACTCTGCGGTAATTCCACTGGGCCACCATGGCTCCTGTCTTTACCCACACCGATCGTTTTTTGGGTCATTCGGCGTGCGGAATGAAATAGAAACACCAACATCGACGGCGAAAATGGAATAAAAAGCTGAGAAAGTGAGCAAAGAGGCATGGCGAGGTGCGTGTGCGGGGTTGGCGCTGGAACACGTCGAGAAGAGGTCCCACATGTTGGAGACATCTTGTTGCCTATTGAACAAGCTCAGTGGGCACGGGCAGAGCAAGTCGCAAGGAAGGGCAAGTTTCAGGTCAAGTTCATGTGTGGCGAGATGTTAACTACCTCGCCCGGTATACAGGAGGTCGATCCCGACCCTGACTCCTGTATATTTGGAGTTTGCGGTGTCGCTCTCCCCCGTAGTTGTGTGGATTTTTCTCTTGGTCCTTCAGTTTTTCCCGCCACATTTAGAATCAACACGCGTTGGCTGTTGTACATTCCACACGATAAGCCACTTTGTTGAGCATTTGTGACCAAGTTGCTTCTGGAAAAGAGCTATATAGCTCAGCGGGCCTTACCTGGTAAAACAAAATTGTTTCATTGAGTTTAGCCAGGTGGTCGAGACTAATGATGGAGTGGCAGTCAAAGGGGTAGTAATGAATTCATCTTGTGAGCTACATGGATCCGTCGTGTTGCGAGACAGAGAGATATTGGCAATGGCTCGGGTGAGGCCTTCATCTAGCAGCGGATAGATCAGGGCTGATAATACGCAAACTTACCGAGGGGTTCAATCGATTCAGTATTGCGTCGGAACATCTGTGGTATCGTATTCACATAAATATTCAAGTAAGTGCACACCGAACAACGCTGTGCTGAGAATAAGAAATGAGCAACACGTGACGAATTCCATCCAATGACCCACAGCTCTAATCAGGACGATTTTGCAAACACAGATCGCAATGACCCAACAGTGGCTGCTAAAACAAGTACAGTCCCCCTTTGCAAAACGGGAAGTTTCTGAACTCTGAAACCGAAAAGGTTTTTTTTTTATAAGTACTACTTCTTAATTAAAAACCCAGTGACATGTAGAGACATCCAAGAGACAACCCTGGGGTGGACAGTGAAGATTTGTGATCTCACACGAGAATAAATTAGCTGTCTGCTTCTTCCCCACTGCAGTATGAGTGTACAGTGCAGTGTTCGAAAGACCGTTGAAGGCTGCCTGATAACCAAAGCTGGGCCACGGCCTCAGAACTGCGACTGCAATTTGTGCAAAATAAGGTTGAAGCTTCTGCTTGGCTCTGTGTAAAACTCACACGCTGAACACGTATATAGCATTTGAAGTCCCTTAATTTCTCAAAGCAGATAAATAAAAAATGTATTTACACAACCCTGTATACTGACTTTCGATACGATAAAATGTTGTTGTGGACATATATTTGTGTTTTTTCTCAAAACAATGCATCTCAATTGTGCTGTTTAAGTCTATTTTGTTGAACTAGATGAGAATTCAAGAGCAGAGAATAACTCCAATATCCTGGTCTATTGGCACTGTCATACGTATGTAATGAGCGACTTCCACGACACATCGTATAGAGGGTACTCACACAGGCCAACGCAGGCCAACACTTATTCTTCCTCACACTGAGTACAACACTACATATTAACGTCTCTACTGGCTACACACAGCCGATCACTCGGCGTGGTCCCATCGCCCCCAATCGGCTACACCGCTGGCTGGCGGCGTGACAATGACGGCGATGGATGGAACCCACGCAGGAGATCTTCCACGTGGCCGGGCGATGGAGAGAGATGTCGGTGAACAGCGACGCAGCCAGGACCCAGGACCCCACAAACGAGCCCCGAGTTCGCTCCCCCTTATATCCCCCCAGGCGAGGCTAGGCCCCGCCTCCAGCCACACCTCCTGCCCCGCCTCCGGGCACGCCTCCTGCCCCGCCCTCTCGTGGAACCTTCGAGCAGGTTCCCGGAGTATCTCAGCTAGCCCCACCTTCCACCTTCTCTGATTGGTTGTTACTTAACCTTGCCCGTACCCGTGATTCCCCTTCCAGCCAGTAGGTGTCACCCTGTCATTACACGTACATGCACGTCGCGAGATGAAGTGATCCATTCGGAAATATCTCTCATATACATCATACAGGTTGCCGACACCTTGCTTGAGCCACTGCCAGCTTTGGGCCAACGTTGTTGCAATGTTGACTGGGCAGGCTTGTTCAGAGGTCTGTGCTTTGTGCTGGCACTGCTGAGAATCCTGGGTTCGAATCTGGGTTTCAACCACCGCACGTGGTTAAACGGGGTTCTCAAGTGGAGTTAATGCGTAGACACTCACCACGTGGCCACCAATGACTCAATTTGTTTTTGTTATCACGTGACATTTGGTTTGGCTTATTTTTGGGAAGAATAAATATATTGACTAAGATATCGATTTAAAGCTTTCGTGACTGCAGGGATTCATCTTCTTGGTTCTTTCGGTAAAGTCACATAGAAGGAAAATAATAAAATGATAAAAATAAAACATAATAAAATAATTCTCACGACGTTTCGGCCACAACGAGGACAGACCTGTTCTCCACCTGTAGACGGCTGCTTGCGTTGTGCGAAACGTCGTGAGAATTATTTTATTATGTTTTATTTTTATTATTTTATTATTTTCCTTCTACGTGACTTTACCGAAAGAACCAAGAAGACTAAGATATGTTTTTTAAACGTCAGTTTACCCGCAATGCAATGACCGTCAATATTTAGTAGAGCATAGTAGGAAGTTGTGCCCCCATAGCGCGGAGAGAATGTATTGTTTGAATCTCAGAAGTAGTTCGCTAATATCTGCTTCCGCGGGTCGTTCATTGAGGTACAAGAATGCACTAAATGACGGTATTTACAGCATTGTATGGCATGATGTCCCTATCACAATCGAAATAAACATTTATAAAAATACGCAAAAATAGTTTTTGGTAAAAAAAAAAAGGTTTTGTATGCATTTTGATAATCCACTGCGGTTTCGCTCATTCATCGCTGTGACCTCTGCCTTCTCTTCCCGGCCGCGTGACCCCCCCCCCCCCCGCTAGCCGCCCTGCCGTTCCTCGCGCTGGAGCTCAACATCGTGAGCCCCATTCACCGGGGCTTCTACTGCGGGGACCAAACCATCTCCTACCCCGTCACGAGCGACACGATCTCGGACGGGGCGCTCAGCGCCGGGGGGGTTCTCATCACCGTCGTCAGCGTGAGCCTCGCACAAACGACGCAACTAGAGCACAACGCACGCAGTCGTCGCCAGAATGCAATGCTGAGGATGCGTTCTTGGTAAACGGAGCGCTATACGCAACCGCGCTATTGGAGGTCATCATAACATGGTCCCAATGGAGATGCGTTAGCGACAGCGCAACCCATGAGCGATGTATAAGGGCTTCATTGTTGTATCGGTAATAGCCTTAATATACTCCTTGAATGAGCTGTCTTTGTTGCGGTTAACGATGTTATGGCTTGAGCAGAAGCCCTCGTATTCTCTGCATTCTTGAGAATGGTTCTAACGGTTGGCGCAGCCAAACCCAAGAAGCGACCAACATCAACCTAATGCTCTCCCGCCTCCACGCATCGTATCAACCTGCATTTTTACGTCCACACTGATGCTTTTCGTTGACTGTTTGGCCACATTGCCAGCACACTCGCTTGCCAGGCCTTCTTTCCCAGACATCATGGGTAATAAAATTAAACGTTATCACAATAAAGCAAAAACAGTTACCAAAGGTCGAGTGAACGAACATTCAGCAGGAAGCGTTCAAGGCTGGCGAGCGGAGGCGGCGGCGGGGGGGGCGCTGATTTGCCTGAGGCCACTGGAGCGTGCGCCGCTCTTTTGCTGGCTGAACGCGCGCGGCTCGGAGGGTAGAGGGAGCGTCGCGCGCCGCGTGTCCTCGCGCAGGAATTTTCCGTGCAGGAATTTGGAACTGCTCAGGAATTTGGAACCTCCAGGACAAAAAGCGTTTTAAGGAAACGGCGTTAGAGGAGGCAGCGCTGGACCATAGGATCGAGGACGGTTCCACGTCAGACAGACATTGAGATCCATCTCGGGTTTTACAGCCAAGAAATCCATGGAGCTTGCAGGTATATGCTGTCTGACAGGGACTCAGACCCACCTCGCCCCCCGCCCCCCACCACGGGAATTAATCATTGCACCCCCCCCTGCCCCCGTAATTTCCTACAGTTCTCAAAACATTGTCCCCACTTTGCTGTACTGCCCTTTGTCAATCCACTGCTAGATGGAAGCCTCCCCCCGCTGTAGGAACGAGGTGTGCCCTACTGGCCTTGGTCGGTATCAGCTTATTGGCGACACAAATACCCCCTTCCCAGCAACATATAATTGTTGAAATTCGTTATTTGATAATCGTTAAATAACAAAACTCAACACGTATCGTACCCATTTAAATGTAAACTATGAATAGTGTTTATTTTACCAGGTAAGGCCCACTGAGCTAGAAAGTTATTTTTCAGAAGTGACCTGGCCACAAATGATAGCTCAACGAAGCGGCTTATCATGTGTAAAAATGTATTGCAGCCAAATACTCGAAACGCGTGTTGATTCTAAATGTGGAGGGAAATACCGGAGGACCCGGAGAAAAATCCACGCCACCACGGGGAGAACATGCAAACTCCAAAAATACAGTCGTCAGGATCGGGATCGAGCTGTGTTGGGTGGAGGGGGGTGGGGGGGTTTATGACACATTTAATTTACACGATCTGACCACAAAACAAAACAATTATAATCATAGTATTGGTCGCGAAATACTACGTGTTATATTTACATTCGTCAACAACACTGCCTCAAAAAGAACAGAAAGGTTAAATTGGTGACGCTTTGGGCAATGACCCCTTCCCACGTCAGGACGTAGATAGAGAGGCCAAAGATGTAGTACAGCTCTACCCTCGATGCCTTCCCAGCAGGCTGGCTCAGGCTACCTCGATGCCCATAAGCTCTCTGGGTTTGATCTTCCACGAGCCTCATGGTCCACCCTAAACCCCATTGGAACAAGCCATGGCAGGTGCGGATACCTGATGCACAAGTGGACAATTTAAAAACGCTCCAGTGTACGGCCGTGGTCATCCAGAGCAGAGGCCGTACGACGTAGGACGGCGCAAAACCCGATCCGCAAACAGGACGGAGACATCAGAGGGACACGCTCCGCTGTCTCCTCACGCGGCTCTCCGGCTTTGACCACCTGAATGTGAAATTGTCGTCGCCGCTGCTCTGCAATTGACAAAAGCAGCCGCCGTGCGCGTTGTGGTGTTTGTCTGCCACACGGGGGCGCAGTGGAAGCGGCGATAACCACTCACGAACGCCGTTGAGACGATCGGCCAATTCCTGATGAGGAGTGTTGATCAGAGGTCGCAATCGGGTACCCGATACCCGTACCCTACCCGATACCCGGCTACCCGTACCCGATACCCGGCTACCCGTACCCGGCCGGGTACCCGTTTGCGACCCTGGTGCGGCCGGGTACGGGTACGGGTAGGCCGTGAGTCACTGGTGAGTAGCCGTTTGTCACTCATTTCCGGTAGGGTACGGGTAGGGTACGGGTAGGGTACCCGTCCCCGGCCGGGTACGGGTACCCGTTTGCGACCCTGGTGCGGCCGGGTACGGGTACGGGTAGGCCGTGAGTCACTGGTGAGTAACCGTTTGTCACTCATTTCGGGTAGGGTACGGGTAGGGTACCCGTCCCCGGCCGGGTACGGGTACCCATTTGCGACCCTGGTGCGGCCGGGTACGGGTAAGGAATCAAAACCCGTTTGCGACCTCTGGCGTTGATCAGTATGTACATAACGGTTCGTGCAGATGACGTCGATGATGAACGGTGCTGATTATGATGATAGCCGATGTTGATTGAGGCTGATGATAGTCGATGCTCATTAATGCTGATCTATGCTGATGATGATATTTACTGATAATAATCGATGCTGATTTATGTTGATGACTGAAGCTGATAGTCGATGTTAATTGATGATGCTGATACCGTTCGTGGTCGATGACGACGATAACAGTCGATGTTAAGAGAGGTTCCGCTGTGCGCTCGCTGCTCGCGGCTGCGCAGGTGGTGCTGGTGGAATGCATCCGGGGCCGCTCCCAGCTGCGGCGGGATCCTCTGCGCGGAGGGAACCTGGTGCCGAACCTGTACCGCCTGGTGGGCTCCTTCCTGCTGGGGGCCGCGGCGAGCCTCTCACTCACCGCACTCGCCAAGGTGCGCCGAGGGCCCACCGCCCATCGTCAGCGTCATCATCATCAGCAGCAGCGTCAGCATCATTACCACCATAGTCATCGTCACCATCGTCACCACCACCCACGACATCAACACCACCCTCGTTATCATCATCACCATTATGGCCGCCATCATTCATCAAACACCATTGTCACCATCATCATTACCGTCATCATCAAACCTGATTCCTTTATTATTATTCCCTGTCTCCCTTTTCCAAATGTCTCCCCTGCATCTCATCTCCCATCGATCGTTGTCTCCTTGTGTTTGCCCATATCTCCACGTGTCCTCCAATTCCCCCATCATTTTTCTCGTGCGCCCTCCATCTTATTGCGCCTTCCCCCTACCTCGGTGTGTCTCTCCCTGGATCACCACCTCTCCTCGTGTATCTTTGAATCTCTCCCTGCATGCTCCTGTCTCACGCTGCCTCGCCACGTCTCCTCCTGTATCTGTCTTGGTGTCTCTCCCCACCTCCTCGTGCTTGTCTCATCCTGTGTCCTCGTATCTCCTCTTACCTTCATGCCCCACGAAATATGTCTCCTGTCTGTCTCCTCCATCTCACGTCTCCCCCCCCACTCCCGACCCCTCCTGTGTACCCATCTGTCCCCGTGTCTCTGCAGACGTGGACCGGGCGTCTGCGCCCTCACTTCCTGTCCGTGTGCCGCCCGGACCCGGCGCTCACCGACTGCTCGCAGGGCTTCATCACGGAAGACGTGTGCACGGGCAACCCCAAGCTCGTGACGGAGGCGCGGTGAGAGAGTGTGGCAGCCCGCTTGTCAATCCGCTGCCGGATCGGTGCTCTCCCCCCACCTCCGTGTCATGAGACTGAGTTGACTGCCACGCTGCTCAGTCGCGCGGGTTGGCTAAGGCAGAGAGCACAGGTGTAATCTCTGCACTCTCAGTCTCTGTGTAGAATAGGTACTGCATATTCTCAGATTAGCACGACGCATTGTAATTTATATGACTACATTAACCCCCCTCTGGTCTTCGCACCTGATAGGGCTCACGATGATGACGTCACCTTTACTCTATTTAAGAGCGAAACCAGGAAGACTCCTGCACAATCCTGGCAGATCGCCTGATGAAGCTGGTTGTAATCGCCAGAGAAACGTCGTTTTGTTTACGTCACAACCCTGACTAATTGGCTGTGTCGAGTGGTGGCGGGCGGACGACACATTCATATTTACCGCGATCTAACCCCACAAACACCTTTATTATGGACGATATCGGTCGCGAAAGCCTACTTCGTGTTAAACTGAGCACAGATGTACGACGGATATTGCTGGACTGGCCACGGCGGAGCACAATTCTGCAGCGGTGAATATATGTTGACTCGTCCATGCGTTTGGAGATGAGGGATCTGGGGATGTGGGGAGGCCGTAGAGGACAGAGTTGCCATCGTCGAGTCGTGATGACGTTGATGATGTTGACGATAGAGGCATGGGGTGCGTGGGGGGGGGGGGTCTCTGTGGCAGCTGGGGTGAGGAAGCGACGGGTGTGGGAGATGTTGGGCAGATGGAGGAGGTGTGAGGTCCTGGCGATGTTGAGATGTGTGGCGAGAGAACGAGAGGTCAGGGAGAGCTCAGGATCAACGACAACTCCAATGTGTCGCACATACTCTGCCTGTGTAAAGTCCAAGTGGCCGTGTCTGGATCTGTAGTGTCAGAACCAGGAGTGTATTTCCCACTGAGTGGAGCCCATTGAGCTAGGACGCTTCTTTTATCAAGGGCGACTCGGCCGGCAGACAACATCGAAGCATTCTGCAATTACATATTTTTTTTAAAACGTAATAATCGCAATTATATTGTACAATCACATTCACACGTTCAAATTTCGTGATTTTAATAAGAGTGAGTTTTTATATGAGGACTGAGATGGCAGAATGGAGATGCCGTGAGGCGTGCCTGGGTAGCTCCAAAAGCTTGGGACAGCAGCTTCTGTTAAATGCTTTTGATAAAAATTGTAGTGATTGCGGATCTACAGTGATCGTGGATCTAGAGTTGTCTTGGATCTGCAGTGATTTTGCATCTAGAGTGATTGTGGATCTATAGTGGATGTGTGGTGGTCGTGAATCTGTAGTGATTGTGTCTGGACCTTTGTTTCCCCAGGAAGTCGTTCTTCTCTGGCCATGCATCCTTCGCTATGTACAGCATGGTCTTCCTCGTTGTGAGTACATGCGCGTGCACGTATTTGTATGTGTGTGTGTGTGGACGCGGGGAGCAGTAGTGGAGTGGTTATCGCACTGCCCTGCAAGCTCGGCCACCCGAGTGCGATTCCATTCCCGCACTCAAGGCCAACGGAAGTGACAATTTTCAGAATGGTCCTGGGTCTCCCCTAGGTCGACTCAGCCCCAAATAAGTACAACTTGATGAAATGTGTACACATTGCCACTATGGAGACAAAGGCAGTCGGGCGTGGTGCTGACCAACCACCACCTCGTGTGCCGTGCCAGCCTCCACAGATGCCCCAACAGTCTGTTAAGGCGAGGCAAGGGGTTGTTGCTTTTATGTTGTGTGTGTGCATGTTGGTGGGTAACAGTGGCGCAGTGTTTCACTCACTGCATACAATTCCCAATCAATGATTAACACCATTGTAAAGTGTTATCATCGCCTGTACTGGGTCTTCCCTCGATGGACTCAGCCTTAAATGAACAACACTGGGGAAACTGCAATGACTGGGTGTGGTGCTGGCAACACCACCACCCCCAATGCGCCCGTGATAGGATTAACAATAATCCTACAAACCTGCCCCCTTACACTATATATGGGCCATTTGGAAAATTACATTTGAGCATTGGACTGCGGAAGGAAATTGGGCTCACCCAGCGAAAACCCACCACGCATGCCACGTACGCAAAACAAACTGTCCCTATTTTGTTCCTTCAACTTTCTCCATCATGACGTGGACGATTACAGCACCAGGATGATGTTGTTGTCGTCGCACGAAGGTTGCGGGGTGACTACTTGTTCTGTGGGCGTGGCTGGCGGAGGGAGTGGCTCTCGGCTCGCCATGGGTGCCTGTTGAGCCTCCCAGAAATGTCGTCTCTGATAGCTCGTCCCCGTGTCCCAGAATCTCTGCGTCCCCGCATCCCAGTGTCCCGGCATCCCCGTGTCCCCATGCCCCGTGTTCCCACGTCCCCACGTCCCCGTGTCCCTGTGTCCTCACATCCCTGCGTCCCCACATTCCTGTGCCCCCCACACCCCCGTGTCTCCTAGCTGTACGTGGAGGCTCGTCTGCGCTGGCAAGGGGCGCGTTCGCTGCGCCCGCTGCTGCAGGCCGTGGCGTTGCTGCTCGCCATGTTCGTGGGCCTCTCGCGCGTCTCCGACTACAAGCACCACGTGGGCGACGTCGCCGCCGGGTTCCTGCAGGGGGGCCTGGTGGCCGTGTTCGTGGTGAGGCTCGTAGAGGGGGGGGGGGGGGGGTGGAGGGGGATGTGCAGGGGTACTGGGGTGGGGAGGGGGTTCACAGGTATCGCAGGGTTCAGGAAAGGAAGAGACTCGTGGATCGAGAGCTGGGGAGGGGTGGTGCGCGGGGGCATGTGCATCGCAAGGAGTGTGGAGATCACAGGGGCAGCAGGGATTGTTGGGGCACTAAGGCCCATTGGTGGCACATGGCCTATTGGAGCACAGATCATTTGGGGGCACAGAGACTGAAGGGGAGAGCTCCATGCTCCTGGAGATCTGGTTTCAGATCCAGAGCCTCGATTAAGATTTCGTCTATGGATAAGCATTATCAACAAACAGAACCACCTCCCTCCCACACAGGTCTTCCACATCTCGGGCCTCTTCCCCCGGGAGGTGCGGTTGGAGTGGAGTCGCGTCCCCAGCCCAACGTCGAACCCGTCGCCTCCGTCCGCGGGGACCCCCAGCATCGGCGGCAGCGGCAGCGGCAGCGGCGGAGGCGGCGAGGACCACCTCAACGGCAACGGGAAGCTGGCGGGCGACCTGGCGCTCACGGGGCGGCTCATAATGGCCTAAAGGGCCACAGCTTCGAGAGACGTTCATCGTTTCCCATCGCGGAGACTCAACGGGGGCCAATGCGCGGCTCACCTGGTCCGCTGCGTCCCCCGACGCTCGCAAAATCGAACACGGAGGCGACCGCATCCCCCGATGCATCGTCCCATGGCTGGCGCGATTTGAAATAGCCAATCGCTGTTGGGCAGCGTCGGTGCGGTTTATCTAATCATATCCCTGCATTTGTTTGGACGATGGGCCCGCGGCTCACATGCAGACTGGGAGGGAAGCTTTGCATCTTAATGAAGCTCATGCCCTCCCGGTTGATGCGTCGCCGTCGATTTAATTTAAATGTCGATATAGCGACGACGGATGAGTTTGCGGCCGCACACATGGGAGGTCACAATCTGGTCTCTGGATGAGAGAGAGAGAGAACTCTGATGATGTCACGCTGGGGCTTGAGTCGTCGGGCACGCAATGTCGGCTTCCAACGAAACTTGAACTTGATGTCGGCTTCCAACGAGCGGTGGGGGGGAACGAGGATCAATGGTGGGGAGGAAGAGTGACGAGGAAAATGTGGCAGGAGGAGGACTGCGGGGTGACCTTCATGCGACTCGTCCACTGCGAGCCCAGTTCCTGAGGACCCTCATGTTACTTTACAAGGCGGTGGTCCAAATGTCTTGTAACCCCTCCCCCCGCCCATTGCATTCTCTAAAACTTAAAAAATATTCAAGCGAGGTTTATTTAAAACAGAAGCGTATATACAAAGGGGAAAAAATGTTAGGGGGTCAATTAATTTGGGGTGACAAGACATCTGGACCACCCTGCACATCTTATATATAATCTAACCACTAGTTGCTATATAATTATACCGGACGACTGACGCGGGGTGAACCACTCTTTATTACAAAGCATGAAGGAATGTCCTTAACGCTCGTGACGTCACTCCACATCGACCAGCCCCCCTCATTAATATTCATGAGCAGGTGACGTCCTCCAAATGTACACCCCCCCCCACCCCTCATTAATAATCATGAGCGGGTGACGTCACTGAATATGGAGTACTCCTCCCCCCCCTCGTTAATCATGAAAAGGTTACGTCCTACAAATGTACACCCCCCCACCCCTTATTAATATTCATGAGCCGGTGACGTCACTGAATATGGAGTACCCCCCCTCACTAATAATCATGCGCAAGTGACGTCACGCCACATCGAACAGCCCCCCTCATTAATAATCATGAGCAGGTTACGTCCTACAAATGGACACCCCCCCCCCCCCATTTTTATTACCTACTTTAATGAGCCAAGAATGTCTGTGTGCAACACTCGTGACGTCACTCCAGGTCTACAGCCCCCTCATTAATAATCATGAGCAGGCAACGTCACTCCACATGGAGCACCCTCCCCCCTCATTAATAATCATAAGGTGACGTCCTCAAAATGGACCCCGCCATTCATAATAATTAGCGACTGACGTCACTCCACATGGGGGGGGGCGAAGCGCCTCCTCCCCCCTCCTCGGCGTCCACTCACAACCCTCACCACAAAGGCAGAACCCTCACGTCACGCGATCTCCGTAACGCTGTTGAGACATCAAAGTAAAAAGGACGTCATGATGAACAAGGGATTATAACCTTTAAATGAAATAGCTCTGTGTCACCGCGGCCTTACAAATTGCACACGAATTGATGCAATGAATATAGCAAGTCGCGGTCTGCTTTTTCGCTTGCAAGTTTCAGATTTACTGCAATGCACCCGTCGTCCTTGGACGGGCAAAAGGCTCGTGAAGGAATAATCGTGTTAGGTGAGAGAGAGCGAGACACGGCGTCCGCTTTTCCAAGAATGTTCTGCAAGACTAGCGGGAACATAACGGGGACGTTTCGGCCCCGACAACCGCCGCCACAACACGAGAACATCACCCACCGGGGATAGAAATGCGTTGATGAGTCAATGGAACCGTGGAACAGACGCGCTTGCTCGGCCTGGCACGATTCATTTAAATCGGATTGTTACATTCACAATACGAGCATTGAATCGTTTCGTGTAAGAGTCGATGACTGCGTATTTGAAGGGCCCATCATGGGTTGTAATAAGGATGCGTGTCACCATGTTGAGGGGGTAAAACACAACTCAAAAAGACCACGACGTCTGTTTGACATCACGTGGTGGGAAGGCGAAATGGAGCAAACAAACAAACATCGTAACGATTGGATCGTACAGAAAAGGAGGCGACAATAATGACGACTGTGTCAGCTCGTACAATCGCCGTGGACTCGTGAATCGTCCCCAAAGTTCGATCTCTGCACTCGGGACGAGCAGCGCCGGGAATTCCACCCCGTGGGTGGTTCCACATCACGTGATCGGCCGTGCCCCTATTGTGACGCTCAAGAGTCACGTGCGAGTTCTCGGGAGGTCACGTGGCTCGACTCGGCAATACGACGGCGGGTGAACTGCGCTTGTGAACAAATTGGTAATTTACGCCCGCGGCTGCTTCGATTATAATCGAGCTCCAAATAATTATTTGGAGCTTCTCACTCGTCTAGGGGGCCGTCCATAAATGACGTCACGCACCTAGGGGGGTGGGGTCAGACATTTGTGACGATGTGTGACGAGGGTGGGGTGAGAAATTTGACATCACTAATTGTTATAACACTACAATGACAATAGTTTAAAGCGATTTGAAGCATGTTTTATTTTCAAAATTGTTTGGGGTGGGGGGGCAGAGCTTTCTGACGTCATATTTGAGGGGAGGTCTGACTTTTTGTGACGCCGTGTGACGAGGGGGGGGGGGAGTCAAAAATCGTCCAAAATCGCGTGACGTCATTTATGGACGGCCCCTAGGGTTTCCACGACGTATTGCCCCGCGTGGTCGTATTCTTGTAGGGAAGTTAACCGGTTACTTTAGGAAACAATCTATTAAATATTCTACGGCTTCACCCCTCCCCCCCCCATGTTATTCTGTATAGGTAAGCAAAACGACGGTTTTATATTATCCGTGCTTTCATTTCGTCCAGGCCACCGTGGGTGCAATGGAGAATATTGTCTGTGCCACGTGGCCGTTTTCAAACCCCTTGTTCGACCCACGTGGCCAGCCGCGGCCTTGTTAAAGTATTATAGTTTAACTGCAGTCGTTTGCACGCCCATCTGAAGAGCTCGCTAATGTTTAGTGTTGTGATACATATATATACACAATTGTATTGCGATGCAAATAAACATCCCGGATTTATTTGAAGGGACTGGTTGAGGTTTTAGCATTTTTTTTGTAAATACCAGTGGTGGTTGGTCATCAACATTCCCATTAGAGGCTTAGGGACCGTTCATAAATGACGTCACGCACCTAGGGGGGGGGGGGTCAGACATTTGTGACGATGTGTGACGAAGGGGGCGGGGGGTTTAAGAAATGTGACGTCACATCAAAATGCGCAACTTTAAGTAAATATAGACAACACGTTCTACTTAATTAAATAGACTTTTAAATAAATATTTTCTCCTACAACATCAGAGTGCAGCGCCACATTAAATACGCACTACAATGACAATAATTTAAAGCGATTTGAAGCATGTTTTATTTTGGGGGGGGGGGCAGAGCTTTGTGACGTCATATTTGAGGGAGGGGGGGGTCTGACTTTTTGTGACACCGTGTGACGAGGGTGGGGGGGGGGTCAAAAATCCTCCAAAATCGCGTGACGTCATTTATGGACGGCCCCTTAGCGATCGAGTGTACAGGCAGTGCAACTGCCCCAGGGTCCACGCGCCGGAGAGCACTTGGCGTCGGGATACGAAGAGGGAGCGGGGAGACAGACAGGGGACCCCATTCCATCCCTTCCACCAGGGCTTAATGCCACCACGACTGACAAAACATACATCAATATATCTTCTTGGTTCTTTCGGTAAAGTCACGTAGAAGGGAAGTAATAAAATAATAATAAAACACAATAAAATAATTACGTGACTTTACCGAAAGAACCAAGAAGATGAATCCCTGCAGTCACGAAAGCTTTAAATCGCAAAATACATCATTATAGTCGATCATCATCATCAGTGTCAACCATCATCCTCCTTTTCATTCCTGCTCAACGATAAATTGTAATCCATTAGTGTCACCCTTTGTCCTCAACCAAGTTCACTAAAACCTACAAGTTCTCGTAATTAGTTCTAGATTTGAAGCTTTCGTGACTGCAAGGATTCATACTCTTTGTTTTTTTTTTCGGTAAAGTCACGTACCTTACCGAAAAAACCAAAGAGTATGAATTCTGTTTAACACGTAGCAGGTTTTCGCGACCAATATTATTCATAATCAACGTTTTGGGTTCAGATCGCGTTATTTATAAATGTGTCGGGCGAATTGCCCGATGATGCTGGATGCAATTACCAGCGAAACGTCGTACTAAAAAAATTGTAAATGTTGTGGTTTCACGCTTCAACACACCGGTGGGCTAAAACTGAACTATTTGTCTTTTGTCAACGTGACACTTTTTACTGATTGGCCGTGTCGGGTGGTGGAGGGTTACGACACATTTATAAATAACGCGATCTAAACTCAAAAACGTTGATTATGAGTATGAATTCTAGTAATTACTTTCATAACTAAAATATTTATTAGATTTTTACAATATTACATATATAAAAATCTGATGCTACGTATCCCTCTTCACTAATATTTCGTCCCATCCTTACAGATAAATAAGTTTCATTGCATTTCTAGTTTCAAATTAAAGAAACAGCCATGACAGGCCTGAGCAAGTGGTGGAAATTCCACACTGTTATGGTCGGAACCAGTCAATGCATATGACAAACATTGTTGATTTCGATTTAAAGCTTTCGTGACTGCAGGGATTCATCTTCTTGGTTCTTTCGGTAAAGTCACGTAGAAGGGAAGTAATCAAATAATAAAAATAAAACATAACAACGTAATAAAATAATTATTTTTTATGTTTTGTTTTTATTATTTTATTACTTCCCTTCTACGTGACTTTACCGAAAGAACCAAAAAAATTAAACATTGTTGATGTTCAGCAAAGTGGGACTCGCGTTATTCATCCGGAGGGACGATGGCAAAGACGGACCCGGTTGATCCCGACCAGGATTTGAACATGGGCCCTTCTGAGTTGAGTTCTTCTGGCCACAGCGACACTTAAATCACACACCCAAGAGGCGGCCGGGTGGCTCAGATCCTGGTCCTGCGCTCAATTTTAGATCAATTTCATCTCCAAAAATAAATAGTTTGACTGTAATGCGGCAATTGCTGTAGCAGGGAGGGTGGGAAAGTGGTGTCCGCTTTTGTGTGTGGACCCAGGGGTCGTTCATTTGAAGGGATCTCAGAAGTAGCTCTGTAATATCCGCTTCCGTGCACCACCATTCTCCAACACGAAGGGCCGCAACTGCTCGGCGAGACCGGAATGGGTACGAGGTCTCAAGCCGTGACGGCAACTGCACAATCAGGATAAGATTGTGGAATACGAAAGTGTAAAAACAAGCACACCACAATCAACTTTTTTGAACAAAATATATTTATTTATCTCCTATGGACATCTCTCACACCACACAAGCATTCGATTTTAGAAATGCGCTCAGAAATTCCCAGTGTATCACAGCAAACCTGACGCACGAAAATGTGGCTCGAGATTTCACGGATTCATTGAATGAAATGGGACGTCTTCTTGGTTCTTTCGGTAAAGTCACGTAGAAGGGAAGTAATAAAATAATAAAAATAAAACATAATAAAATATACTATTTTATTATTTCCCTTCTACGTGACTTTACCGAAAGAACCAAGAAGATGAATCCCTGCAGTCACGAAAGCTTTAAATCGAAAAATGAAATGGGGCAGTCACACAGCAGTGTCTAACACTAGACGACAGTCTCCATTCGTGATCACTCACGGCCACCTTGGCAGCCATGCAATGATCCATCAATTCGTTCATTAACTGTTGATCCTTATCACAACGCAAGAATACATTGTTTGAGATTCGTGAACATGTTCTTTAGACTGACGTTCAAAAACGAACCGAGTACAAACTAGACAGAACAATCACAACAGTACGAAGCAACTCAACAATGCAGAATGATAAAGACACGACGGACAATCAAGACGAGGCAGAATGGGAAAAACCAGGCAACACAGACGGTTCAGACGAGACTGAGCAAGCCCGCACAAATGATACAAGTCAATCACGAATAAATGTAATAATCTTTTCTTGAATCATATCGTGACCCAGAATTGTGGTAATTCATTGCATCACACAGAATGTGAATCGATGGTTCAGCCAAGGAGGTTGGTGTTGATGTTTCCTTAAGGCCGTTATCAGTTTACTTACACTCAGATCTAGAGCCTGAACCCAGGATTTCATCACTTGCGAGCTACATGTCTCTAATATGGCAGAAGTAGCCAGGTGGCTCAGAGGTCAAGGTGCTGAGCTGGCACTGCAGAGATCCAGGTTTCAAATCCAGGCAGCTGCCTGTGATTAAACGGAGTTCTCACGTATAAGTGAGTTCATTGTCTCAGCCCGATAACCAAACAACTCATGGCATTACAAGTAAAAAAAATAAAAATGATCAGTTTGACTGTCATGCAACCATTATGACTCGATGTGGGTAGGTGGAGTGTAAAAGTGCGGTGCCCTGTGGACCAGGGGTCACTTGATGGGATCTCAGAGGTAGCTCTGTAGTATCCCCTTCCGTGGGCTGATTTCCACATTCGTATCTGTGCGAGAGATACGAATGTGAATACTGAAGTCTCACGACACCAACGGTAAAATTGTAAATAAAAGTGTCTCTACTGTGGACCCGCTAAGATACCTAGGGCTAGAAATTTGGAACTTTGATAGAGACACCTGACCGATAGCTTGAACCCAAGAATCCAGGCGTTCCAGCAGAACGAAATGATAACTGTGAACCTTGATTACAGAGACCTCGATGCAGGACTTAAACCCAAACCCCCCAAGAGGTTACTGGTCCCGCACCTCCGATTAGCACAGTTGGCGACGCACGGTGCAAAAGAAGTTCAACACACATAGAACATGGAACGAGTCCAGGACAGAATGCTCCGGGGGTCTCCTTTACTCGCCCTTGTATCGGGGAGGACGCTTTTCCTTGAAGGCGAGGAGACCCTCCAGACGGTCCTTGGTCGGGATCACCTGGAAGCCACCACACAGACACGCGTCATATCACTACAAAAACAAAAAATCCCCCGTCTTAATTTTGGAGATTTCGTGACTGCAGGAATTATTCTTTGGTTCTTTCGGTAAAGTCACGTATAAAGATAAAATAATAAATTAGATAATAGCATACTACGACGTTTCGATTGCAACACAAGCAATCATCATCAGGTATAAAAGAAATAGCAACAAAAATCTAACCAGAAAACTATAGACAGACATACAAGCAGACAGATATCACAAAGATACACAGAGAGAGCAACACGTATCGGCACAAAGAGAGAGATCGTCTCTGTGACGAGGCCTCTCTATATTTAAGGCGAGGCCTCTCTATATTGTGCCGATACGTGTTGCTCTCTCTGTGTGTCTTTGTGATATCTGTCTGCTTATATGTCTGTCTATAGTTTTCTGGTTAGATTTTTGTTGCTATTTCTTTTATACCTGATGATGATTGCTTGTGTTGCAATCAAAACGTCGTAGTATGCAATTATTGAATTTATTAGTTTATCTTTATACGTTACTTTACCGAAAGAACCAAAGAACAAAATCCCCCGTATCGGCTTAACAGACAGTTGGTGCAAGTGGTGACAGTGAGCACCAACTCTCAAGGCCAGCACGGCACATGAGGGGGTGGGTGGCCAGCACCACACCGCACCAGGTACTCATTTGAGGCTGAATCGACCTAGGACGGGTTCAGATAATAGTCACTGGTGTCGGCCCTCAGCGGGAATCGAACTTCAGTCGTCCGGTTCGTAGCTCAGCGCGCTAACCGCTACACTACTGCTGTCTATAAACTGTCACTACAGCTCACAGACACATGTACAAAGGCATACACATACACACAAATACAAAGTCTCACACACCCACAAACCCATACACCTTCCATTACTACAGGCCACTCAGCTCCAGGTCCCCCCCCCCTTCCTCAGTTCCAAACACATCTGTCACTACAGTCGACGCATCTGCAAGTCAATGCCATCACACATCATTCCATCTCTCCTCGACCCAGAACGACGCTCCCCGTTATCCCTGGTACCCAGGGAGTTTGTTCACCCAGTCACCCTGACACGGCCAGTGTGAACCGTCTCACCTGCGCGTAGCACGCCTGCTCAAACGCCATGCCCGTGGCCAGGTCCACCTGTGGAAACAGCCACGGGAAGATCCATTAAAGTGAAAGCCCCCCCCCCTCCCCCCCCCCGTTCTGCCCATATCACAACGCTGCGGCCAAACGGAACGGGACTCGCAAACAGAATGTCTTGAGGTCAAATCGTCCCTCCCTCGGGTCCATAAATTCAGTATCATTTTATGGGCTGTCAACTGTGGTTGTCCGATTGAGAAACTGTTCCCCATGTCATAGGATGGTGAAATTTACATCGGGAAATGGGTTCTTATGGGTTGTTGTTGTTATTTTAATGAACATTTTGTGGAGCGGTTGCTCAAGGCTAGAGACAGAATAGCGAACGACAAGAGAGCACAGGTAAAAGAAGATGCAAGTTAAATTGCATTTAATGAGAACGTAAAAATAAGTGTACAGATGGGACAGTCCAGACGAGACGGAACCAACAATTATTACACTCGTTTTTTTTTTTTACCCAGCAAAGCCTCCCCGAGTCTCATTGCTCTTTTTGAAGAGGGTCCTGCCAGGTTTTCCGTAGTAGGAGGAGAGGTGGGGGGCGTCGGGAGGGGGGGGGGGCATGAATGTCATATAGATTCCAATTAAGTAATGTGTGCTTTTTTTTGTTACTTGGCAAATTTGGACCACGAAGCCGTCACACAATGGCCGACGCTCCTATGAATGACGTCGAAACAACACCTCACACGTGAAGCAGCAAAGGGGCAGCACAAGTGCGATAGAACAACGATGGTGCACGCGAGACATTGCAGACAAAGGCAGGCAGGACAAACGAGACGGTACAAAGGGAAACAGGCCACCGACGTGGCAGCACAAATTAAACATTCCAGACTGAGCGCATCCAGACAGAAGAATAATGAGACAGTACATATGACACGACAGAATCCTTGAATTGGGACAATGTATAGCATTTTTAGGGGGGGGGGGGCGGCACATGGGTGGTGAGTCATACAAGCGCGGGGTTTGTGTGTGAACCACGTGTGTGCGATTGTAATCGTGTCCTCGGGGCCCTGACAGTGCACGGTCAAGAGTCTCACCTCAGCACCGCGATCGATGGCCATCTTAGCCATGCGGAGAGCAACAGGGGCCTAGGAGGGAAGAAAGACACACGCACACGTGGGCATGTATACACACACACGTGGGCATGTATACACACACACGTGGGCATGTATATACTCGTACGTGTAAGCATGCTCATACACACACACGGTTTGTCAGTAAGAGTCAACATTACGCAAACGACAAAGCTTTCCCAGAGAATCGTGTACAGACGATTGGTGCAATCAATCAATCAAACTTTAATATAGCGCCCTTCAAAAAAAACCTCATCAAATCGTCACTGAGCTCTTGACATGTATACATAACTTGTTATGTGCTGGAATTAACATATTGCTCCAGGTACTCATTTTAGGCTGAGTAATTGCAGGGGAGCCTCAGGAACTGGCTGAAATGTTCGCCGCTGTTACCGGTCATAAGTGGATATCAAACTCAGGTCGCTGGGTTCTTGGCACAGCACGGCACATTAATTACTCCGCTACCACTCCCCACACACACTATACATACACGTACATACATGCATACGCGCGAATATAAATCTATCCCTGTTGATCCAGCCGAACGAGAAGCTGCTTGGCCATGCGGTGGGGCTGGGCATCAGGGCAACGTGACCCAGCCAACGCAATATTGCCTGCCGGAACAGTAAACAGATGGCACTCTACCCCGGCCTCTGGGCATGTGTTGTTATTACATCATCGGAGAACCTCACATAATCCAACCTGGTTAAACCCCCCCCCCCCCCCCCCATCAAATGGATCGTGTGGGCAGCAAGCCTCAAGACGGATTGCACCCGGGGCAGTGTCAACGCTTCGAGCAGGCACAGGGGTGGTTCTGTCATGCCGCGCGCGCGAGTCACGGTGACCTCTACCGCTCGACGTCTGCTGATGGAGAGTTTAGTGCAGCCTTCAGTGGGACCCCCAGTGGGAGGCTTTGCAACAGTCCCTGTGTGGAAGGCAGCCTGGCGGAGCCTAGCGTCTCGGTCAGAGAGGGTTTAGAGACAGATTTGCGATCGCTTTGTCAATCCGCTGCGGAGACGAAGGCCTGTCCACGTTGTGCCGATCACGACCGTTCTTTACCACGGCTGGTCGGCGGCGGTCGGTGAAGCAAAACCGGTCCTCAGGACTGGATTAGGTATTAGCTTTGGCCAGGAATGGGAACGCAGGTCACCGGGTTCGTAACGCAGTGTGCCAACCACTGCATGGTATTATATTAATCACCTAAAGACAGAGCGGGTTACTGAATAGCGAGTCTGAATTCGCGAGAATTCGTGAAATCTTAGAGGAGCTGTGATTGGTTTCTTGTTCAATTTGTATAGAATAATATTTTACAGCCCCTTGGCAATCCACTGGTGGATGAAGGCCTTCCCAAGCTGTGTCAGTTGCGAGCATTATTTGACCATACTTCACCACGCTCAGAAGTTTACAATGGCTGCGCATCTCTCTCTCTCTCAGGAGGTTCACATTGGTCGTGCTTATTGTGTCTCTCTCTTTTCGGAGGTTCACAATGGCCGTACTTGCTCTGTGTTCCTAAATTGAAAACTCTTTTCTTAAGAACTGCTTTTTGCGTTTAGTTTGTTGTCTTTTCCCCGCACCTCTGATTATCACGGTTGACTACGTTAAGGTGCAAAAGACGGTCAACATACATCCCTCTTGAAAAGTTCACAATGGCCCTGGTATGTGTGTTTGCAGTTAGCGTGCTGTGCTACAAACCTGGCAACACGAGTTCGATTCCCGCTCATGGCCAACACCAGTGACGATTATCTGAAACGGTCCTGGGCCTCCCCTAGCTCGACTCAGCCTCAAATGAGTACCTGCTATGTAAGCCTCGCAACAGGTACATCGCACCAGGTGTGGCGATGGCCACCCCCCCCCCTCGTCTGCCATTGCCGGCCTTCATAGGGGCTCGCTAACAGCACTTGCCCCAACAGTCTGTTAAGGCTACACGGGGGATTTTTGTCTTTTTCGTCTCTCTCACAGGAGGTGTCACGACGAGTCGTCACCTGCGTGCGGATCTCGCGGGCGAGCTCCAGGGCGGAGAGGAAGGCGGCGTCCCCCAGTTGGTTCTGAGCGACGTCTCGCGACACGAGGCCCAGCACCGCCGCCTGGGCCCCGTCCAGCACGCGGGCCGAGAAGATGAGCTCCTTCGCCACGGAGGGCCCCACGAGGCGGGGGAGACGCTGGGTCCCACCTACACGGGGGACGCACGGGGCACGGCTCTTGAGCACGGGGGGTGCGGGGGACACGGCGGGAACAC